CAACAATGGATGTTGAATAATATTTATTTGTACATTTATTGGATTCACATCTGTCTTCCAAGCAAGAAGGTAAGTTATCTAGATATTGTGTTTCTGTTCATGGTTTGTTTCCAGCACCCAGTACAGAACCTGGCACACAGGATGCATTCAGCAAATGTTTATTAGGTGAATGACTAAACTCTATCTGCTGACACAGTGACTGCAGGGGTGAATGAGGGCCAGTCGCTAGCCTCATGAAGTTTCCATGAGTCATGTCATTTAGTGGGAAGACAGATGAGACCATTACCATTCAGTGTAAAAAGTGCTGTGAAGAGTGAGAACAGAGTTCAAAGGAGACACACAGGGCTCCTTACACAGTATAGGGCTGAGGGAAGGGGAGAAATTCATGTGGGGATTGGGGGGGGTCATAAAATGCACTCTGGAGGGGGTGGCATCTAAGCAGAGAACAGGTGATGGCAGGATGAAATATGGGCAGAATCATTCCTGGCCAAGGGAGCAGCACCAAAACCCAAAAAGAGAGTTGGAGAAAGATGGGCAGATACCAAGAAGACAGATACAAGGACACGAAGGACAGACTGCCAAGTGCAGTGTAGAGGCAGTAATATTTGCCCTTGCTTCAATTTCCTTTTAGCATGGTGGTATAGATTTTGCATGATGCTTGTAAGCAAACTTATTGCACAAAAGAGACATTATCTACGAAACTGTTTCATTTAAAATACAAGCCTAGTTGGAAGGTTTCAATATGTAAGCAGATGTGCATTTTCTGACTTCAGAAAGGCCCCTTAAAGCGTCCCAGGATCTATCATTGTTTATGCCATCCCAGCCTCGGTTAAAGGTTTCTAATTCAACTGGAGAGGGATTCTGCTGCAGGGCGTGTATTGCTGGTGCACTCTCTCTCAGTGACTTGGGCTGGCAGGTTAATGACTAGCAGTGGAAAGAATGTTTTTGTAACAGGATCAGCACTCGTGGACTTTTTCTTCTCCTAAAAGCTAGCTCTGCTCTTGAAAAGCCCTGGCCATGTGCTTCAGCAGCTGATTAGGGAGGAGATGCTGTTTGTTGTGTATCACCTTCCCTACACCATATGCCTCTCAGTCACCTGTATTCATTCAGAAGGTTTGTTAGGTGCCTCTTTAGGCTCCAAGTCTATTCAAGGGAAATGCCAGTATTTGAGTTTCCTATGTACCAAGAACTCAGAGATTTAGAGAAAACCAAAAGACCTAGTCTACAGTGTCAAAGAACTTAGAATTTAGTTGAGGATACAAAATATATGCATCTGAAGCAATTAGGGGATAGTACTAATTAATATTCTGTTATTTTCAAGCAACAGAAACCATATCCTCTCTCTTAAGAAAAAGGGAAAGTTATTGGGTGAAGACAAGGGAATCACACATAGTGGAAGGAGAGTTTGATAGACAGGATGTGAAGAATCCAGGGCAGCTCAGGGATCTCAGTAGCAGGAATGTGTGGACCTTTGTCGAGATCTGTCATTTAGGGATGTGGATATAAAATACATAAAGAAAAGGAATACCACCTGGTATCTCACCTCCCAGAGGCAACCACCATATGCCTCTGACATATATTCTTCTCATCTTTTTTTTTTCTTTGAGCATGTGGGTGAGTGTGTATATTTGTTACAAAATTGAGATTCTGCACTTGACGCTGTTTTGTGTCTTGCTCTTTTAGCTTAACATTATACTGAAAACATTGAACACTGAAAGCTCTTTGAAATACAGCTTTTAGTGGCTGCACCATAATTTATTTACTAGTCCCTATTGTTGGACATATAAATTATTTTCAATTTTTCATTATTATAAAATATATTGTAATAAACATCACAGTACATTGAATTATTGTCTGAATTTCTGACTGGGAAAAAAAAGTGTCAACCAATGGATTTAAGACAGAATTATTCCCTGTGATTTTAAATGCCTGGGATAACTTGAAATACTCTGTCTAGCCAAAATGCTGTTCCACTAACTTCTCCATTTTATAGAGGGTATCCATTCTTTTTCACTCCACAATCAAAACACCATTTTGTAAATCACTGACTTCTCAGTGCTCTAAAAAAACAACTTAGTCAACTAGAAAGAAAGAATGACCCCAAAACCAAATCAATATCAGGATAATTATTTATTCTTGGTCCTTGGAGATGAATCTATTTTGTGGAGGCTAGGGAGAGTCAACTGACTGCATTCTGTTTTTTAGTAGACTTTTTCCTCCAGGTCAGGAGAGGAAGGAGGCAGATATGCTCTGGGAAGAGGGATAAAATCTAGGAGACAATCAGAGACTTCAGAAGATTCTAGTTTTTAATCTTTTATTTAATAAATACCATGTGTCAGACACTGTTCTGAGGGTTTTATGAATATTCAGTCACTTAATCTTCCTACTAATGTGTATTAGTTCATTCTCATACTCCTATAAAGAACTTCTCTGAGACTAGGTAATTTATAAAAGAAAGAGGTTTAATTGACTCACAGTTCCAAATGGCTAGGGACACCCCAGGAAATTTAACAATCATGGTGGAAAAGGGGAAGTCAGGACCTTGTTCACATGGCAGCAGGAGAGACAAGTGCAAGCAGGAGAAATGCCAGGCACTTATAAAACCATCAGATTTCATGAGAACTCACTCACTATCATGAGAACAGGATAGGCGAAACCACCCTCATGATCCAATCACTTTCTTTCTTAACACGTGGGGATTATAGGGCCCTCCCTCAACACATGGGGATTACAATTCAAGATGAGATTTGTGTGAGGACACAGAGCCAAACCATATCATTCCACTCTGGCCCCTCCCAAATATCATGTCCTCACATTTCAAAATCAATCATGCCTTCCCAACAGTCTCCCAAAGTCTTAATGCATTTCAGCATTAAGTCAAAAGCCACAGTCCAAAGTTTCATCTGAGACAAGGCAAGTCCCTTCCACCTATGAGCCTGTAAAATCAAAAACAAGTTAATTTCCTCTGATGTACAATGAGGGTACAGGCATTGGGTAAATACACCCATTCCAAATGAGAGATATTGGCCAAAACAAAGGGACTGCAGGTCCCATGCATATCCAAAATCCAGTGGAGCAGTCATTAAATCTTAAAGCTCCAATATAATCTACTCTGACTCCATGTCTCAAATCCAGGGGCTGATGCAAAGGGTGGGCTCCCATGGCCTTGAGCAACTTCATCCCTGTGGCTTTGCAGGGTACAGCTCCCTACCCTGGCTGCTTTCACAGCTGGTGTTGAGTGTGTCTGAGGCTTTTCCAGACACACAGTGCAAGCTATTGGTGGATCTGCCATTCTGGGTTCTGGAGGTTGGTGGCCCTCTTCTCCCAGGTCCTCTAGGCAGTGCCCCAGTGGAGACCCTGTGTGAGGTCTTATATTTTCCCTTTGCACTGCTCTAGCAGAGGTTCTCCATGAGGGCTTTTCCCCTGCAGCAGACTTCTCTCTGGACATCCAGGCATTTCCATACATCCTCTGAAATCTAGGCAGAGTTTCTCAAACCTCAATTCTTGACTTCTGTATACACCTGCAGACCCAACATCATATGGAAGCTGCCAAAGCTTGGGGCTTGCACCCTCTGAAGTAATGGCCTGGGCTGTACATTGGCTCCTTTTAGCCATGGATGGGACCAAGTGCCAAAATTGCACAAAGCAGCAAGGCCCTGGGCCTGGCCAATGAAACCGTTTTTTCCTCCTAGGCTTCCCAACCTGTGATGGGAGGGACTGCTGTAAAGACCTCTGACAGGCCCTGGAGATATTTTCCCCCTTGTCTTGGCGATTAAAATTTGACTCCTCATTACTTATGCAAATTTCTGCAGTTGACATCAATTTCTTCCCAGAAAATGGGTTCTACTTTTCTATAACATTGTCAGACTGCAAATTTTTCAAACTTTTATTCTTTGCTTCCCTTTTAAATGGAAGTTTCAATTTCAGATCACCTCTTTCAAGTTCAAAGTTACACAGATCTCTAGGGCCAGGCCAAATGCCACCGGTCTTTTTGCTAAAGCATAGCAAGAGTGACCTTTGCTCCAGTTTCCAATAAGTTCCTCATCTCCATCTGAGACCACCTCAGCCTGAACTTTATTGTCCATATCACTATTGGCATTTGGGTCAAAACCATTCAACAAGTCTCTAGGAAGTTCCAAACTTTCCCACATCTTCCTGTCTTCTTCTGAGCCCTCTAAACTGTTCCAACCTCTGCCTGTTACTCAGTTCTGAAGTTGTTTCCTCATTTTTGGGTATCTTTATTGCAGTACCTCATTCTTTGTAGTACCAATTCTCTGTATTAGTCCATTATCACACTGCTATAAAGAACTTCCCTGAGACTGGGTAATTTATAAAGGAAAGAGGTTTAATTGACTCACAGTTCCACAAGGCTGGGGACACCTCAGAAAACTTACAATAATGGTGGAAAGTGAAGGCAAAGGCAGGACCTTCTTCACATGGCAGCAGAAGAGAGAAGTATAAGCAGAAGAAATGCCAGACACTTATAAAACCATCAGATCTCATGATAACTCACTCATTATCATAAGAATAGGATGGGGGAACCACCCCCATGATCCAATCTCTTCTCTCCCTCAACACATAGGGATTACAGGTCCCTCCCTTGAAACGGGGGGGATTACAATTCAAGATGAGATTCAGGTGGGGATGCAGAGCCAAACCATATCATAATGTTATAAAGCAATTATTATTATTACCTTCATTGTAGGGATGAGAAGACTGAATCACAGAAGTCAGAGTAAAGGGTAGAGCTGGGAATTGAATCCAGAACCACTGACTCTCAGCAACTGTACCTTGCTTCCATGAATATATTGAAGTTTACATTTTAAAATCAGGATGGTTGAAAAATGCTCAAACACTATCATCAAAGAACATCAAACCAATACGCTCTTTGTTTCTTTTACCGGACGTTAGTATTTCTCATCTTGTGCAACTCAAGCATCAGTAACCTGGGCATCCCCAGGTCTTCCAAATCTCACTTTAACATTATAAAAACTGGCTCAGTGCTCTCTTCAGCAGCACAAATACTAAAATTGGAATGAAACAGAGAAGATTATCATGGTCCTTTCACAGGATGACATACAAATTCATGAAGTATTCCTGATTCATGTTCTTGTTAATGAGCAATAAGAAATCATCTGAAGGTACAAAACTCACTGATAATACTAAGTATAGAGATAAACACAAAATATTATAACAATGTAATTATGGTGTGTAAACTACTCGTGCCCTGAGAAGAAAGACTAAAAGATAAAACTATCAAATATGATGACTACAACAACTTTTCAAGACATAGATGGTGTAAGATATAAATAGAAACAACAAAAAGTTAAACAGTAGGGGTGATGAAGTTAAATGTAGACTTTGTATTAGTTTCCTCTTTGCTTGTTTCTGCAATCAATGTTAAGTTGTCATTAGTTTAAAATAAAAGATGTTATTTGCAAGCTTCGTGGTAACCTGAAATCAAAAAACCTGCAATAGATACACAAAAAATAAAAAGTAAGATATTAAAACACACCACCAGAAGAAAACCACCTTCACAAAAAGGAAGACAGATAGATGGAGAGACAGAAGGAAGGAAGGAAAGAAGGAAGGAAGGAAGGAAGGAAGGAAGGAAAGAAGGAAGGAAGGAAGGAAGGAAAGAAGGAAAGAAGGAAGGAAGGAAGGAAGGAAAGAAGGAAGGAAGGAAAGAAGGAAGGGAAGGAGGGAGGGAAGGAGGGAGGGAGGGAAGACCACAAAACAATCAGAAAAAAAAAATTGGTAAGTAAGTCCTTACGTATCAATAATAATACTGAATATAAATGGACTAAACTTCCCAATCAAAAGACATAGAGTGGCTGAATGAATGAAAAAAACATGATCTGGGCTGGGTGCAGTGACTCATGCCTGTAATCCCAGCATTTTGGGAAGCTGAGGCAGGTGGATTGCTTGAACCCAGGAGTTCAAAGCCAGCTTGGGAAACATGGCAAACCCTGTCTTATAAAAAATACAAAAATTAGCCAGGCATGGTGGCATGCACCTGTAGTCCCAGCTACTCAGGAGGCCAAGGTGGGAGGATTGCTTGATAAAAGCTGTCTCAAAAAATAAACAAAACCCCATGATCTGTTGCCTACAAGGAATACACCGTCTGTATAAGGACAAGTGGAAAGAAATAGAAAAAGATATTCTATGCCAATGGAAACAAACAAACAAAAAAAAAAGCAGAAGTAGCTATATTTATATCAGACATAATAGATTTTAGGATAGAAACTATAAGAAAAGACAAAGAAGGTAATTTTGTAATGGTAAAGGGGTCAATTCAGCAAGAGGATATAACAATTGTAAATATATAAGCAGTCAATACAGGACCACCAATATATAAAGCAAATATTATTAGAGCTAAAGAGACAGAGGGAGACCCCAATACAACAATAGCTGAAGACTTCAACATCCTACTTTCAGCATTGGACATATCATACAGACAGAAGATAAACAACAAAACATCAGACTTATCTCCACTACGTATAAACCAAAAGGACCTAATAGATATTTACAGAACATTTCAACCAATGGCTTCAGAATATACATTCTCTCCTCACTGCATGGATTATTCTCAAGGATGGACCATATGTTAGGCCACAAAGAAGTCTTTATATAAATTCAAAAAAATTGAAACTATATAGTGTCTTCTGTGCCCACAAGTAATAAAATTAGAAATCAATAACAAGAGAAACATTGGGAACTATATAAGCACATGGAAGTTAAACACACACTCCTGAATGGCCAGTGGGTCAATGAAGAAACAAAGAATTTTTATATTTCTTGAAACAAAAATGCAAACAAAACCTACAAAAACCTATAGGATACAATAAAAGCAGTAGTAACAGGAAAGTTTGTAGCAATAAACATCTACGTCAAAAAAGTAGAAAAACTTCAGATAACCAACCTAACAATGCATCTTTAAAAAGTATAAAAGCAAGAGCAAACCAAACCTAAAATTTGTAGAAGAAAATAAATAATAAAAATCAGAGCAGAAATAAATGACATAGAAATGAATAAATCAGTAAAAAAGATCAATGAAACAAAACTTAAAAAAAAGAGCGATCAACAAATTGACAATAAACCAAGAAAGAAGACCTAAATAAATAAAATCAGAGAGGAAAGGGGAGACACTGCAACTGATATCACAGAAATTCAAAGGATCATTAGAGATTACTGTGAGCAACTATATGCCAATAAATTAGAAAACCTAGAAGAAATGGACAAATTCCTAGACACATACAGCCTACCAAGATTGAACCATGAAGAAATCTAAAACCTGAACAGATCAATAACAAGTAATGAGATTGAAGTCATAATAAAAAGTATCGCAGCAAAGAATAGCCTTGGACCCCAATGGCTTCATTGCTGAATTTTAACAAACATTTAAAGAAGATCTAATACAAATCCTACCCAAGCTATTTTTTAAAAAAAGGATGAGTGAATACTTCCAAACTTATTCTATGAGGCCAGTATTACCCTGATACCAAATCCAGACAAAGATGCATCCAAAAAATGATTTTTTTTATTTTCTAAAAATTCCACAAATATCCCTGATGAACATTAATGCAAAAATTATCAACATAATACTAGCAAACCAAACTTAACAACACACTAAAAAGATCATTCAACATGATCAAGTGGGATTTCTCTCAGAAATGCAAGAATGATTCAATGCATGCAAATCAATCCATGTGATATGTCATATCAACTGAATGAAGGAAAAAATCATCTTATTATTTCGAGTAATGCTGAAAAAGCAGATGACAAAGTTTAATATCCCTTCATGGTAATAAACCTTGAAAAACTGCATATAGAAGGAACATACCTCAACATAATAAGAGCCATATATGACAGACCCAGAGCTAGTATTACACTGAATAGGGGAAAACTGAAAGCCCTTCCTCCTAAGATCTGGAACAGGATAAGGACACCCACTGTCTCCAGTGTTATTCATCATAGTACTGCAAGTCCTAGCTAGAGCAATCAGACAAAAGGAAGTCATCCACATTGGAAAGGAAGAAGTCAAATTATCCTTGTCTGCAGATGACATAATTTTATATTTGGAAAAACCCAAATACTCCACCAAAAAAAATATTTGAACTAATAAACAAATTCAGGAAATTGCAGGATACAAAATAAACATACAAAGGTTAGTGGCATCTCTATATGCCAACAGTGAATAATCTGAAAAAGAAATGAAGAAACTAATCCCATTAATAATAGCTACCAATAAAATAAGCTACATAGGAACAAACTTAACCAAAGAACTGAAAAGTCTTTACAATAAAAACAATAAAACACTGATTCAAAGAAGTGGACACACACACACACACACACACACACACACACACACACACACAAATGAAAAGACATTCCATGTTCATGGATTGGAAAAATCAATATTGTTAAAATATTCATACTACCAAAAGCAATCTACAGATTCAATGCAATCCCTATCGAAATACCAATGACAGTTTTTACAGAAATAGAAAAAACAATCCTAAAATTTATGTGGAACCACAAAGAACCTAGAATAGCAAAGCTATCCTGAATGATATGGTTTGGCAGTATCCTCACCCAAATTTTATCTTGAATTGTAGCTCCCATAATTCCCACATGTCATGAGAGGGTCCAAGTGGTAGGTAATTGAATCATGGTTGTGGGTCTTTCCCATGCTATTCTGGTGTTAGTGAATAAGTCTCACAGGATCTGATTGTTGTATAAAGAGGAGTTCTCCTGCACATGTTCTCTTGCCTGCTGCCATGTAAGACGTGACTTTGCTCCTCCTTTGCCTTCTGCAACCTATCCATCTGACAAGGGATTAATAATCAGAATACATAAGAAGCCCAAAGAACTCAGTAGGACAAAATCTAATAACCTGTTTTAAAATGGGTGAAAGATCCGAATAGGTATTTCTTTAAAGAAGACATAAAAATGGTAAACAGGCATATGAAAAGATGCTCAACATCAATGATCATCAGATAAATGCAAATCAAAACTACAATTAGATATCATCTCATCCCAGGAAAAAATAGCTTTTACCCAAAAGGCAATAATGAATGCTGCTGAGGATGTGGAGAAAAGGAAACTCTGTTGGTGGGAATGCAAATTAGTACAATCACTATGAAGAACAGTATGGTGGTTCCTCAAAAAAACTAAAAATAGAATTACTACATGATCCAGAAATTCCACTGCCAGGTATATACCCCAAAGAAAGGAAATCAGTATTTTGAAGAAATATGTACACTTCCACATTTATTGTAGAACTATTCACAATAGCCAAGATTTGGAAGCAATCTAAGTATCCATCAACAGATAAATGAATAAAGAAAATGTGATACATTTACAAAATGGAGTATTATTCAGCCATAAAAAAGGATGAGATCAACAGGGATGGAACTAGAGGTCCTTATGTTAAATGAAATAAACCAGGCACAGAAAGAGAAACTTCACATATGCTCACTCATTTGTGGGAGCTAAAAATTAAAATAACTGAACTCATGGAGATGGAGAATAGAATGATGGTTGCCAGAGTCTGGGAAGGGTAGTGTGTGTGTGTGTGTGTGTGTGTGTGTGTGTGTGTGTGTGTGTGTGTGTGTGTGTGTGGTGGGGGTGCAATGGTGGTTAAAGGGTATGAAGATATAGTTAGATAGAATAAATAAGACCTAGTATTTGATAGCACAACAGGGTGACTACAGTGAACAGTAATTTATTGTACATTTTAAAATAACTAAAAGAGTACAATTGGAATGTTTGTAATACAAAGAAATGACAGGCTGGGTGCGGTGGCTCACGCCTGTAATCCTAGCACTTTGGGAGGCTGAGGTGGGTGGATGACCTGAAGTCAAGAGTTCAAGAAATGATAAATGCTTGAGGTGTGGATACTTCATTTATCCTGATGTGATTATTATGCATTGTACACTAGTAACAAAATATCTCATCTACTCTATAAATTTTATATATATATATATATATATATATATATATATATAATATACTAACAAAAAAAACTGGCTCAAACCCATGAACATTGCAGTTGTCTCTCCAGCATCCATGCAAACTCATCTCCATGTGTAGAAGCCATGATT